ATGGAGTAAGGGCCAGTTGTTAGAAGTGCTCTGGGCACCTGGAACAGGTACAGAGAAGTTAGCTGAGAATCAGTAGCAGGTCAGGCATAAGGAAACAGTTCAGAGCTGATTATAATTCCAAATGGGGCAAACTGATCGAGAAGATGCCACATGGAAAAACCACTGGGGTCAGAGATAGAGGAGGCCACTGGGTGAGAAGCCCCCCAGGAAGAAGCAAGGCAAGTCCAGAATGACGTTTGGTCTCCTTTCTATGTATTTGGCACGTGTCTGGTATGTAGGAGCCAGGCCCAAAGTGAAATTAAGGAACAGAAGATGACTGGCTTACTGTCATCTACTAGGTCAAGTCCAAACTCCTTTGTAGGACATTCAAGACCCTTCCTGACATGGCTCATGCTTACTTCTCTGGGTTCTCCATTTCCACTCCCCAGCACACCCCAGTACTACAGCTATTTCACTGAATTCAGGGTGTCTCTGTGCTTTTATTCATATATATGATTTCATATATATGATTTGTATAGGACATTGCATCCACAGATGTCTGATTAAAGGAGATGACTCACCCTTGTAGATTTACCCCAGCTTCTCCAGCTGAGTCAGGTGTGATTAATGATTCTGATGTCTCTTTGATGTTACCTGTGGCACACCTTCATCCCTCAACTATTTCAGTTGCCACACTGCTCATCTGTTTACCTGCCTGCCTGAAGTGAACAGTGGGCTCCGTGAGGACAGAACCTGTTTTACTCAATATTTTAAACTCCAGCACCTGTCTCAGTGGTTAGCACATAAGAGGTGCACAGGAAACATTTTTTTTTGGTACCGGGGATCAAACTCAGGACCTTGTGCTTGTGAGGCAGGCAGTGCACAGGACACATATGAGGTGCGCAGGGAACATTTGTTGGATGAATGAACTTGTGAGTTCACAGTCTTACAGAGGAGATGAGCAAGGACAGAGAAAATTACAAAACTGTGTGAAAAGGACCATGCTAACAGATTATTTGGGGGTATAGAAAGGAAGTAATGCCAATTTGCAGGCAGCCATATCCCAGGCTCCGTTCCCTGCAATGTGCAATCCAAAGTAAAAACACACAGTAGTAAATAAAATTTTATTTTTTTAAATAGACAAAAATCTTACCCAGATGAATGGAATTAGGATAAGTTCTTTACTTTGGGGAAGGGAGTAGCGATTGCCTCTTATTTGTTAGTGCCTATATCAGTCAGAGTGCTGGCATCTCAAGAATTTAACAGAAAAGAATTCAATGACCACTTGCAGAGATGTGGGGAGGGTTAAAGAAACCAGTGTTGGGTGAAGATCACTGGCACCCCAGGCCTGAAAGAGTGAGCAGTGAGTCTAGAGCTGGCCACAGAGAACCACAGCCCCTAGAACTGCCAGCTTCTCAGCCCTGGCTAGTGGACTTCACCCTCCCATTCTTAGATTGGCCTTAGACTCTCATGAGCTGAACTCAGCTAGAAGCCAAGGGCAGGGGAGCCCTGATGCTATAAACCTTGAAGTCTAGGCTCCTGGGCAGGATGGAGAATGACCAAGCATAGATCGGGGTGGTGGGGAGCAAAGAATAACTAGCTTGGAGGGAAGGGATTATGTATGTGACTCACTTGTCTATTGGGTAATTCAGTACTGATTCAAACTTCACAGGTGAGAGTTCTAGATCTCATGTTTTGTATGCAGTATTTAGGTATCTGTGTATACAAGATTATTACATTCTGTAAATTAGGAGGATTAGGGTGGGACAAAGCCATTTATGTTTTAATTTTTTAAATTTTTATTTTTTTAAAAATAACTTTATTATCAAACACACACACATACAAAAAATTAAAACCATTCAAAGAAAAAAAAACCATTCAAAGAAGAACAATGCAAGGGGAAAAAACCTACAATAATATTCAAATACAGTAGAACTCAACCAAAACAAAATTGACAAGCCCTTAAACATTTTTCCATATAACTTAAAAAAGCATCTCAAGCACCAACAAGACACCAGAGGATGTGATTTGTTTCAGAAAGGTCCCCAAAACCAACACTGAACAAATAATGATCTGGAAAAAAACTCCAGTTAGTTAGCAGACTCCA